AATTAATGGGGGGGGAAGTAGCTCCTCCCCAGATGACATTGCGCTCCACCCTGAAGGGAGATGTCAGTCTGAGGAGATTTTTGATTGGCTGAGGAAGGCGATGACCCATCCTGTTTCCCTTTCCCCCTGTAGGGAATTTAAGCCTGAGGTAAAGGTGGCATGGAGGAAGTTTCCTGTTTTCTTAATAACTAGATGCTACTAAACACAAACCTTTGTTAGTCTTTGGCTCAAGGACTCTCAGGTTGAAAAAAATTAAAACTAAAAGAAAAAAAAATTCCAGCACAGGCCTAATTTGACCAGTTCAAGCCCTTTTCTGTGACAAGTATCTTTATTATTTGGGGAAGGCCACCATTTTAATGTGTATTTTTAGGGAGAAAGGGGCCACTTCTGAAATTATTTCTGCCCCCTTTCAGCACTCCTACTTCCTACAGGGAGAATACTATAATAAGTGGACAGGGTTGGGTGCATATGCGTGTGGGTGTTCAGCCATCTTTTGGAATAAATCTATGCCTTTTGGAACAAAAATAACCACAAGCAGCAGGCTGCATCCATAGAGGCCCTCGCAAGCACTGAAGGATACAAGCTAACACACTTTATATTTCATATGACTTTAAAACAAAAAAACAGCCAATTACCAGCCCCAAAACTTCTGCAACCCATTTGAAAAAGGTGAACAGTGGCTACAGCTGACTACTTTTTCCAAGCGGGCTTTCCAAATCAGCAGTCACAAAAATGGAACAGGCTGAGATTTCTTTTTCTTTTATCATTCCTATAAGGATACATTGCTTTATGACACATCCCATGCAAATGCACTTTCTTCACATTTGCCCCCCCCCCCCACTGGAGGATTTAAAAGGCAAGGGAGCTGAAAAGAAAATACAAATAGTCACTGAGATTGTCTTCTACTTTCATTCACATGGGATTTAGTTGGAATATAGCAAAGAAGTGTTCTGTAGTAAAAGTCTAGATCTCACTTTGGAGAGTTCATTTCTGACTTAGTCATGCCACTTTTATACTGTTGATAGCTTCCTTGCTATCACTTTTTCTTGGGTCAATCTTCCAAACTACTTTTATTATTATTATTAAAACACAAATGGGAACTTCTGTCTTTTAGCATGTTGTTAAACGACAACACGAAGTACTTTTAGTTCCATAACATGTTGGGAAAGTTATGTTTCCTATTCTGAAATCAGGGTATAGAAAAGTCAACTGCAGTAGGAAAGACCTCAGATTAGCAAAAAAACAAAAACAAAAAACAGCATGAAAGGAGAAAGTTATGCTTTTCACTGGATAAGAAATATTTATATATTTATCATGTTTGTATACTGCAGGCTTTCAATTAAGCCAGCCTACAGTGGTTCAGTTCCATTGCCAAAACTAGTTGGCAGGAGATGAGGTAAGTAGGCACCATGGTGTGAGTTCACTTGAATCTAGATAAGATATTCCTAAATACTTACTATTTTCACCTCTTCTTAGAAATATAAGAGATAAGGAAGTAATTCAAGAACAGAATTTAAAGTATTACATACAATGATTTATAGGCTTTTCTTGTCATGAAGACCATATTTGTTATTTAGTTTTTAATGATGCATTTTTAAATACATATGGCTATTTTCCCATAATGCAACAAGCCAAAAAATCCAGTTAACAAGCAGTCATGCTGCCATTTTTCCTTTTCTTTTTTTGAGGGGGGGGGAGCAGCATGTGGCCCTGTAGTTCTGGCTCTGAGTCTTAAGCTTATTGTGTCATCCAAATTTGAAGCAGGCATCATTTTGAGTTAACAAGAATCAAAGTTACACTTTTTGGTTTGAGTTTGGATGTCACTGAAAATCTAAAGGACCAACTGTAAGACACGGTAAGATGACAGGGCGTATGTGTTCTTTTGGCTTAGTATTTTATGCCAATGTAGTCTATATAATAATCACTATTTCTTATTAAACTGATCTTCTGATTATTAAATTTTCCTTATGGATATATTGAAATCAGTATTGATATTTACATTAACAATTTTTAAGATAACACATATGCTTTATAATCAATGCATTTTTTAGGCTTAATTTAAAGCTACTAAAATTTGTAGAATGAACTGACCATTCTATGTGAAGGTACTTTCCCAATCCAGTATCACCCAAATATTTTGGGGAGGCAACTCAGAATTTGAGTGGGAATTCTGGAAGCTGCAGTCCTGAGCTATCCAAGGGAATCAAGTTGGGTAAAATTACTTTAGACTACTGAATTATTTTGTTCAGTGTGACTCTCAAAGACTATTCTGGCCAAAGGGATTCAAAAGGGTATATATTAAATCTGTACACAGGAAACTAAAACCTGTAGTATAAAAGGAAGCTTAGATAAGATGGGAACCAAAACATGGCACAACTTTGCTGTTTTTCTGATTAGCTTACTGGTTAGAAGAGAGAGTTAGAATATATAAATGAACGTATCTAGTAGAAAAAGGAAGTTAAGAACTAGAAACTTAAGTCAGAACACAATATAGAGTAAGAGCAGGCAAATTTCAAGTTTGTGGGATCTGTTTTATGTATTACAATTCACCAACTGAGTGTAGTGCCAAATACCTAGAATTGAAACATAGTGTGAGCAGTATTGTGTTATGAAACCAGAACTGAATATGGCTCACAGTCCTTCCACACATAAATTTGTTCCTAGGGTAATTTTAGAGGGTCACCTACCAGTATCATTGTAAACACTTTGTGCAGCTATTCCTCCCCCACTCCCACTCCCACCCCCACCCCCACCCCCATCTTCTTAATTGATTGCTTACAGAGGTAGGAAAAAAGGAACAACAAAACAAAGTACAATTACCAATGGAAGATGACACAACAAGAATTTGTACAGTAAAACGTTAGTCTAGAGATACCTCTAAACTGCTTTACTAGAGGAGTAATTTTGTTGCTATTATTGTAAGACTGCTGGTGATTAAAAATTCTTGCCATCTAGTTCAAAATCCATCTTCTATCTCCCTGTTTTAGAGAGTCCAGAATTCCAGAACAAAATAAGCTGAACAGAAAAAAAAATTGGAATAGGAAGAGAACGTTTTATTGTTAATAGCTCAGCTTATGTAGCATGTAGAGACACAATATAGACTGAATAAGTTTTCCCATGTTATTTTCTTAACCTGTTTGCCTTAAAATAAACAGTTAAAGTTATTATACAATTCGGGAAGAAAATATGATTGGTGCTTTTCACTTGCAGTTCATTTCTAACTACCCTCCCTTTCTACCAAATATGTAAATTAGTTGGGTCAGTAAAAATGTTTGAAGATATCAAAGTCACAGAGGATAGAGGGTTATTTCAGTGGATGCAACTATATACTTATCTGGCTGGTGTGGGTCTTCCGGGCTGTGTGGCCGTGTTCTTGAA